CACTCAGAGCCCTCCCTGACCGCCTGCCACCTGCCACCGTGGGACCTTCTCGGATGCGGGTTCTCAGTAGGTCTCTTTCTGACCCCTCTCGGACTCCCTGACCCAAGAGTGAACTGACCAGCAGTAGGACAGTAGCCGAAGGAGGGGAGGGCAGAGTCCTAGCTCCCGTGGGCGAGTTGTCACACGTTGTTTTAGGAAAGGAAAGATGGTCAGACGGCCTTCAAGTGCATCAGGACTGAACTCAGAGCAGCAGGCGCCTCCCCACAGAGCCAGCCAGGTGTTCAACACCCCGGCCACGCGGTGACAAGACCCGCCGCAGCCCCCAACGGCAGGCAGCAAGGGCTCCGCTGGCCACCCTTCCTGTCAGATACGCAGCACAAGGAGAGCCAGCCGAGCTGGCCGAGCGGCACAGCCACGCAGGCCACGGGCCAGGTCTTCCCAGCCTGGAGACATGGGCTCTGAGCAGCAAAGCACTCCGATCACGTCTCCAGTGATAATGCCCAGAACCCAGGCCACAGGGAACCGAGAGAAGGGGACGGAGGCAGAGGACAGCCCAGAGAGAGCTGGGTGAGGACCAGCAGGGACCAGGGTGATGGGACACGGGACGGGGACCACGGCGAGCAGCAGCCCTGAAGTCTGCAGAGCCCGTCGGGCAGCGTGGAAACGCTCTCCAGACTCGGGGTCCGTGGAGAGCAGAGAGTGCAGCAGCTCCCACAGGGACTGCAGTCCCGCGAGACTCACGCAGCGTGGGGGGGGTCCCCAGCAGGCACTAGAGCATCCTGTAAGCTGCGGTGTTCGGGGTAAACTGCACATCAGCCTGAAGTGGCACCCCTTTCTCCACCAAGCCCTCTCCACCAGGGCTGATCTTAGGACTGTCAGCAAGAGTCTCTGCAAAAGAGTCCCCTGTAGATAAACTTGCTATTTTCGTGTCACCCTGTTTACTTGGCCACTGGCGGGGAAGATACCATCCCTCCAGGTGCTGGACACCCCTCACTAGTTTTTCATAAACGTATCCAGTACAGTAGTTTGAAGAAATGTGCAAACGAGGCCTCTGGCCTTGAGCTGGGCTTCACAGAGATGTCTACATTTTTAGGATAAGTTACAAAGGGGCTCCATGGTAACAGCTGGCAGGGGGAGGAGAGAGAGGGGAGAAGAAGCTCCCCCCTTCTCAGGTGTGGTCCTTGAAGGGTTAACTTGCCCAAAACAGTGAAAGGAAAAAGCTGATTTATGTGAACTTCTGCAGACTGTGAACTTCTGAGCCCCTCCCCTTACACACTGGGTATAAAACTCTGAAACTCCCTGAACTCGGGGTTCAGGGGATTGATTGATCACAGCAAAAGCTGTGCCCTCTGAACCTGGCTGCAGCCAAATAACACTGTGTCCTGCTGTCTTCGGTGCCTTGCCTCGTTTGTCCCCACCACAAGCCAACACAAGGGCCGCCCCAGGCCGTCACTGAGGCACATGAACCAGAGCCAGCGGAGCGTGCACCCAGTGCTGGGGAGGGAGCCCCGTGCAGCCCGAGGTGCAGGACTCTGCCAGACGAGAGCCCTGAGAAAGGCAGCGAGGCCTCTGTGAAGGAAGCCTGGCCCGCCACCAGGCGCCTGGGACCCGATGGGGGACACGCCAAGGGCACTCCTGGTGCAGCCAGGGACCTGAGCAACACTGTCCCCACTGGTCACCTGGACTCTCTTCAAAGCCCCAGACTCCACTTCCAAGGTCTCAAGCACTTGTGGGGAGGGAGGGCCTCCTCCGGGTGCTGCCCAGGCGAGAGCTAGTCCTGCGGCTGGCAGAGCAGGCAGCGTGGCCAGATCCGGGAGACACAGGGAGGGCCACCAGAGAAGCCAGGCCCAAGTTCCACGTTTCGGGCTGGGGCTGTGGCTCGGCGGTGGAGCGCCTGCCTAGCACCTGTGAGCCCCGGGCTTGATCCTCAGCGCTGCATACAAATAAATAAAATAAATGTATAAAAGTCTATTTTAAAAAAGTTTAGACATTTCAAGAAGAGTGGAAATACCTGTGCATCTAGAGACACAGAAAGGCCAAAGGAAGAGTCAAGGAGTAATGGTGAGAAATGGCTGGAAGGTCTGGGGGAGGCGGACAGACACCAAACCTGTGTTTGGAACTTCACAGGGACCAAGTGCCGTGGCCCACACTGATGACCCCAGCGGCCAGGAGACCAGGCCGGAGGAGCGCAATTCCAGGCCATCCTGAGCAACCTGGGAAGAGCCCGTCGCAAAACGAAAGAGCTGGGGATTGGCTCAGAGGGGTCCGCCCTGGGCCAAGCTCAGCACCCAGAACAACGGAGCTTCACGGGGCCTGAGCCCCAAAGGAAGAACCAACAGCCAGCGTGCCCTAGTTTTCCGGGTGCCTTGCAAAGAGCAGAGCCACACAACTGTCACTTCTGTCACCCTTCCTCATCTGGAACCCGAGAGGTGGGGAGGAAGAGGCAAAACCGCTGTTATTTTCAACAGGAGGATTTTCTCCCCTGCCCCTCTCTCAACAGCAAACAATAAATAGCAAAGGGGTGTGAACTGTTGGACGTGTCCAGTTTGATGGTCAGAAGGACAATACTATTATTAACATAATTAACAGCATTCCTACACATGGGCGATAATGAAAAAGCTGTTCAGAATGACCACACGACATAAAAATAGAAGAAAACAGGATGAAAAATGCTCTTTATCCAGCAATGTGTTTACTGAGGAAACAAATGGAATAAAAGCACCTTCTATTCCTAGATGGATGCTCGTGCATAAACTGTGGGGATGCCAATTCACCCCCAATCAACTTGTAAAGCAAATGAAATCCCCACAAAAAGTCTTCCAGCATAGTTCTGTGAACTTCGCCAGCGTATATAAAGCGGGATGTGGAAGTTCACGCGTAAGCCTCGAACACAAGGCAGAGTCAACAGAGCCGGCGAAGGCAGAACTGAACCGTGTGTCGCCCTTTCCTGTAACACCACATGCACGTTAACTCGGTGGAGACAGACTGAATCCTCTCAAAAATTCTGTTGGAATAATTGCTCAACTATAAACAGATAAATCAACACACACTATACCACACATCTATAGAAACTCCAGGTGAATTACTGCAACAGAAAATCCATAAGAAAACTACGGGAAAATATTTATACATACACACCTGTGTGGAGATGGATTCTTGTAAACATTATATCAACATAGAAATACTAAGGGGAAATTTGATGGATTTGGCAGCCTAAAATTTTCATATCATTTTCATGTTAAAAATAGGAGAAAATGATAAATTGGAGAAAATACTTAAAACATACAGTACCTAAAGGCTATTAATTATCTCAATATGTAAAGAGCACTTGCAAATCAATAGAAAAAAATTCATCTCAATGGAAGGAAGGACTATGGATACAAACAGGCAATTCAGAAAAGACTAAGGAGCTGCCAGTCTCCATGTGAGAACTGCCCAGCCTCCCTGGTGGCCAAGAGAACACAACCTAGACCAGACATCCTTCTTCAAAGGGTCAAAGCAGCAAATTTTCAAAACACCAAACTAAACAAACACTTGGGTCGCAACTGTCAATGGGAATGAAGCCTCGTTCCCCTACCTCACTGACGAGTGTGTCCTTTCATGTGAAATCTCAGAAGAGAAGACCTTCCACGTCCTGGCGCGTCCTCGACCTTTACCTCCTTTGGATCAGCAACTCCAACTCCTGACTTTTCCCCTGAGGAAAGAATCAGACGGACGTGCACTGAGACTGGGACCACCCAGAGTGCAAATTGTAAGTTTTAACATCAGACCTGAGGAAAACAATGCAGCTTCCTCAAGACAGCTGCTTCCACTGAGTCAGCTCACATACAGGTGCCCGTACACATTCAAAGTCCCTGTGGTACAGCATCTGTGACATGGGGACATCTCGGGACACAATGCCAAGTGGAAAACGCAGGACACAGATTCACAGTGTGTGATCTCTATTTCACCTTGTGGAAGTGAACTCTGTCTCACAGCCACCCTGCGTTGACCCCTTGGATTAAGACAGCCGTGCTCCGCACAGTTCAACAAGAACATGGAGAGGCCCACAGAGGCATCAGGACCCAGCACAGTCTGAGACCTGAGGACGACTTCCCCGGTTTATCTGGCAGGCATGGCGCGGGGCACCCGGGCCTCCACCCGCCTGTTTGCCTGTGTCTGCTGCAACTCTCTTCAGAATGAGGCATGGGACCCCTCCTAGCCAAGCCGCCCACGGAGGGTGGTCGGCAGGTGACAGGGGGGATGTGCTTTGACGGTGGTGGCTGAATCCTGTTAAGACGCATGAGGCTCGGAGGAGGGAGGAGGCCACCGGGGGGCGTCAGGGCAGAGAGGCCACAAGGGTCCTGGGCCCGGGGGGCAGGCAGGAGCTTCAGCTGCCGGTGGAGCACCTGCTGGAGCTCGCAGGGCCCCTCCCTGAGCCGGCCAAGCCCACGGTGGCACCAGGTGGTGTCTGCTGAGCTGAGTCCTCTGGCCTGCTCCCGCGTAGGGGCACGGAGGTCCCTTCAGCCTGTCTGGGAGACAGCCTGGACTCGCTCACTGCCCGCAGGACTCCGGTGCCCTGGGTACCAGCTGCTCTTGGGCTCCAGACGTCCCGTTTGCTGGTTTGGTGATTTAAAACGACTCTTCTTCACAGTTCTGCAGCATATTTACACGTGGTCTCCTTCCTCTGGGGCCAGCATGGGTCCAGCCCTTCCAGGTTTGCTCAGGGGGGACTGGCCTCCCCTGATCTGGAGCCGTAGGGGTCTTTCCGTGCCACCGCGGGAGGTTTTCAGGGCTTGGAGCCTGCGGCTGAGTGCACATTGGAGCAGCCGCTCCTGCAGCTCCACGGGCTCACTGCATGATGGGGTTTTCCTCTGGCTTTAAAAATGATGAAAATGGCCAAAGCACCGCTCTTTTTCTGTATTTTCAACATCAGACTTCCGCATGCGGGGCCAACCGTGGTGGCTACGGCTGCCCAGCAGTGAGGTTGGTGCTGATTTCTGGCTCACACATTTCCTCCGGCACCACGGGGCCTGGGCTTGGCTTCTCCCCGGCCGTCGCTGAGGGTCCACCATTTCTACTCTCAGCACAACTCAAGCATTTTCAAGATGCCCAGCCTCTTTCGCCCGTGCAGCGGGTGCAGTTTAGAGCTCTGGGAAACAGACCGCAGCCCAGGCTGGGCGCAGGGTGGACCTCCCTGAGGGCACCCACTCCTCAGGCCTCCTGGCACCCTCTCTGTCCAGTGGTTCCAGGCACCTGATGGCCCGCCCTCCATGCTCTTGCAGACTCATCTCTGGGCAGGAGGACTGGCCACACCCTCCCGCTCTCCTCTCACTCCCAGTTCTCTCGGGCTTCCCCCTGCCCTTCTGAGTTCCCATTCCCCACCTGGGTCCTGTCCTGCCTCAGCTCAGGCCAGCCCCAGAGACAGCCAGGTCCTGGCCGGGTGGGATCCACAGAGAGGCAGCAGCCTGCCACAGGCAGCTGGAGGTCATTAGGAGTGTCCGGGGCCAGCACCATGGCTTGACCCTGGACTGCTTCATGTCCCTGTCAACTGCGGCCCCTCCCAGGGCCCCCACCCTAGCGTGCTTCAGTGGGCTCAGGTCCTGGCTCCACCCTCCAGGCACCTGGACAGCATGCCCGACGTGGACAGAGCAGGGCAGGACTGGGGCACGTTCTGATGACTGGGAAACAGTCTCCCTGCGTTGTCCTCCCAAGGCAGCTTGGACACTCGGCTGCCACCCCACGTCCCCAAGAGCACTCTCCCTCCCGCTCCCACCTGACGCCCACCGTTCACTTTCCTCGAATTGCTTTCCACTTTGTGTGAAGCCACAGAGGGACCAGGCACCGCAGCACAGGGAAAGTTCACTGCAACTGGATTAAGCACCGGTGACTCTGGGCATCTGGGGTCTTGGCCCTGCAGCAGTGTGGCCTGCCTCTCCCCTCTCCAGGCGTCTGCCTCCCAGGTCCATCAGTGGGCACTGTGTCCAGAAGGCGACACAGCTCGCAGCCTTGAACCTTCTGCCCGAGTTCCGTTCCTTCTCCCTGGAAGGAGACAGCTGCATCTTGCAGACGGGAGGAGGGTGCGGCCAGCTGAGGGCTCAGAGCCGAGTCCTGGCCGGGGTGTGGACACACACTGGGCCAAGAGCAGGCCAACAGCCAAGGTCTGCAGGGTCCCCAGAACCTGGACAGGAGGCAGCCCGGGAAGTCTGCTGGCTCCACACCGTCCCGGAGGGCTCAGCTGGCCAGGGCATCCTGGAGCCTTGGAGCTGACAGCACAGGCCTCTCTTGCTAAGCTCTTCCAGGGACCTGGGAAGGGCCCTGACTGTTTTATGTTAATATTTGGTTCTTTTCTCTCAGGGGAATCTACACTGTGTCAGCCCTAGGCCTCCCCAAATCCTCGATCCACCTCTGCTAACAATTCCAGGAGTAACTACGCGAGCACAGATTTGGTCCAGGCAACACCCTCAGGCCTGCCTGGTGCAAACACCTTTACCTGGCTGAGCCTAGGTGTCTGTTCTCCAAGACGCGGGGGTGGCTGGGCGGCCCAGTGCTTGGGGATGCTCAGGGACACGGCTGGTTTAGCTGTCCTTGGATGGCTATGACACGCTGTCTGTGAGCCACATTCCTCCTGGGGCACAGGGAGGCACCGATTGGGTCCTGGGGCGGACAGGGGCTCACTGTGCTGCTTCTCTACCCTCCTCTTCCCCGGGAGGGAGGTGGCACGGGCGGCCTCTCTCCCTCTCTGGTTGCTAGACACTCCTGAGGACTTTCCTCCCCGTCCCGCAGTCACAGGAAAGTGACCAGAGGTGCGTGTCATGGCCACCCCCCCAGGTGGTCAAAGGCAAAGGGTCCTGGAACAGGCCTGCCTCGATGACCAGAGGAGCCTGGTCACAGTGTGGCAGCTTCCCACCCTGACCCCGAGTTCTCATCCTCTCTGCTTCTTTTCAGTCTGAAGGACAGAGCTCGGGCGCCCTGCTCAGGCCTCAGACAGGCTCCCACCTTGGTTCCCACTGACCCCAGGGCTGGAGCAGAGGGGATGCACGGTGCCGGTGCTCCGATGTCCCCACTGTCGGCCAGGGGAGGGGCCGTGCTGGGGAACAGTGGCCTTGGGGGGAGCACCTAGCTGGAAAGGCCATTTCCCACCTGGAGGCAGGCCTTCTCTGGAGGTTCTGAAGGCCGACCACCATGTCTGTCAGCTGAGGGCTTCCACTGGCTCATTTCATGCACATTCCAGAGGGGCTGGCTCTGCTTTCCGGACCCCTGCTGTGTTTCAGGCCTTTCTTTAAACTTCTAGCACTAGTTCACTTAATCCCTACAACAGGAGCCCTTCATCACGGTCGGTCGAGCAAACAGGTCAGAGAGGTGAGTGAGGTTAGTGAGCAGAGAGGTTGCTCAGCACGAGCTAGCAGCAGCATCAGACCTGGACAGAGCCGGGGCGCAGCTCCGTGGTAGAGCGCTTGCCTAGATGCCCAGGGCCTGGTCCATTCCAGAGACCTGCCCTCCACCCCGGTGCATCACAACACAGTACGCGCGACTGCTGGGCTCTGGTGTTAGGAAGCAGCACCTCCTTCAACTCCCTAAGATGTAAATTAAAGTGTCTCTCTGTGTGCCTGCGTGCCACTACCTGTCCCGAGGAGGTCTGGCTCGCTCAGGGGCTGGGTGGTGCCTGCGTGCAGGGGCTCAGAGCACTACCAGTGGTCCAGCTCCCGCTGGGCCTCCCCGGGCTCCCAGGCTGAGCATGTCCCTCCAGGGTCACCTCCCAGGCTTCTCAAGACCGCGCTCTGTCGGGGGACTGCTCACCCCAGAGCTGGGTGGCGGCCCCAGTACCATCACCCGGAGCCCAGCCTGGCTGCACCTCCTTGCTCCAGCTCTCAAGCGCCTTGTGGGTATTGCATGGTCCACAGGTTTCCATGTTCTTACTTCACTTTTTCTTTTTCGGCACCAGGACTGAATCCAACGGCACTTAACCACCGAGACATATCCCCAGCCCTTTTATTTTTTATGTTGAGGTAGGGACTCATTAAGTTGCTTAGAGCCTTGCTAAATTGCTGAGGCTGGCCTTGACATTGAGATCCTCCTGCCTCAGCCTCCTGAGCTGCTGGGATCACGGGCCTTATTGTTCTTTCTAATTATGAGATTAATTTAATATTACAAGGTGAAATGCAAAGACAAAAAGATTGAAAAGACACCAGTAATCCAATTACCTCTTTCACACACACCACCTTTTTAGTTCGTCCATTGCTCTCTATGTCAGTATGTTTTTAGACAATCAAGATGATCCATTATATAAAACACCATCTCCTGCTTTCTCACTTGGCATTTTATCACCAGTTCCTCATCACGGACAACAGTGCCACTACCACTTCTCATGGGCATCATGTCGGAGGGGTTTGCCGTGTTCCCTGAATCCTGGAACAGGATCCACGATGCCCTCCACAGCCACGGGTCCTCAGCCAGCCTTCCTCTGCGTCTCACACCTGGCTTCGAGCACTCCCTGACAAGTGTCCTCCCCGTCCCTCGTTGCAGCTTGGGGACAATTTCCAGGGAGCAGAGAGTCGGCCACAGGGTGTGATGTGCCCAAGTGTGCTGATGAATATTGCCAAGTTGGTTTTGAGTACCACGGAGCTGATTTCCAGGTCACCATCGACCTGACAGCGGCTCATGGGATCCTGTAAAGCGTTTGCTAACTTGATTAAGGAGAACCAATCCCCCGCC